ATATCGCTTGCCATACAGAGCTTTATATTTTATCGTTTTCATCGGTTATGTGCCGTGTCCCTTCCAGATGTGGCCGATCATTGCTCTCCACAATGTCCTCTCCCTTGTGGATCTAAGTAACATTTAACTTTAACAGAATGAAGGAAACTGAACAAACGTTAATGAGGAGAAAGGACAATAAAATGTCGTATTTAAAGAGACAGAAAATGACGATTGCGGTTGCATTTATATTTTCGAAGATCGTAGTTGACAGAAAAGAAAGAAGCTACAAAAAACTGATATTGATCGCATTGAGAAAGAAGACATTATTGGCATAGAACTTACGGTGGAACTTAGCGACTTCAACAGTAAAATAACGACACCAAGAGAACAAATACAATGGATGAAAGATAGATCGAACATATATCTTTCCGAAATAATGTTTGCTAAATTATGTCTACATATTATACGGTCGTACTAGAGATGGGTTAAAAGATACATAAGTCATCATTGTTTTTGTTTTGCCGCTTTAAATGCTGTGAGGCGATTGTGTCGAACAGAAGAAGAAACCTAAGCGATAAAGAGATATTTCGCACATTTCAGACCCAGGTTCCTCTCTGCAGTGAAATAACAGTCCAAATTCCGGAATTTGGTCACATGTCTTCTCATACAAGGTTGAAGCCAGTGAGGGCAGGAGAATCGTGAAGATACAATTTCATTATAGTTTAAGTCCCTTGAGTTTTTAGCGTCAGACGATTTAAATCAATTTTATCAAAACAAAAACAAAATAAATAATGTTAAGTCGAAAAGCTAAAAAGAAAAATGAGATGATATTTTCATAATTTTTGTTTTGGAAGTTTTTAGAATTTAGTTTTCTTCTCAGGCAAAATATTTCTAATACTATTCATGATTTTATTATGGACATTGTTTATTTCACACGCCAACAGTTATACACAAGTTTTTCACAATAAAATTGGTATTAAGACATGGTTCTTGATAAAATTTTCAATATATATATATTATAGACACTAAAGCTTTCACGATACACACACACACACACACACACACACACACACACACATATATTTATTTATTATAATTTTATCATATAGACAAAAGCATTTTACACACTACAAAGATGCAACTTGGTTTCAGTGCATTTCAACTGCACTTCGACGGGTGAGAATCGAAAATGGTTACTCACTCGTCGAAGTGGAGGTGAAATGCACTGAAACGAAGTTGCATCATTGTAGTGAGTAAAATGGTTTTATCTATATGATAAAAAATATAATAAATAAATAATTATCGCTCTACAATTGGTGTCGAGCCCTCTTTTGGATTAATGCTGTGAAAGTTGGAATTTATTTACTTTCGTTCTCATCGCATAGCGTATATATATATATATTGCAAAATCATGACGCATCCAAGAGTTCGACAGTTCTCATTGAAATACACCCGTCACACACACACACACACACACACACACACACACACATATATATATATATATATATGACGGGTGTATTTCAATATATATATATATATTTAAAAAATACTGTTTGTTAATATATAAAATGTTACAAAATTATCCGATTTCTTTTTGAATTTGTAGGTTTGAAGAATTGATAACAATTCCAATGAAATAAATTATAACCATGGAACATTAGTATTTGAGCCTTTTATATTATACATACATACATACTTACATACAAACATACACACACACATACACACACACACACACACACACACACACACATATATATATATATATATATACATAAAAAGCAGGATGTGTGTGTGTGTGTGCGTAACGAATGCCCGGCTTTGCACCAATATTTACATGCACATGCTCCAAGTTAGCGGAAAGGCCAAGACCGACTTTGCATTTCTCAACTCCCATCTATAGTGGAAATAATCGATTTTTTCATGCTTTTACGGCAGTTTTCATGTAGTTTGCGGCCATTTTGTACTGGCCAGAATGAGAGCCAATAGCTGGCTGCCACGAATAGGCAGGAACATTCTATTGGCCAGCGTGAGAGCCAACTGCTGACTGACACGTATGTTAACTAGCACTTTACTCCAATTGGCTCATTCGCTTGCTTAAACTCAACGTTGATTCTGATTCAGCAGAACTAGGTTGGGTGTGAAAAAGTATTTGTTATTAACATTCTTTTTTCATTCGGTTTTTCCAGTTATGAGTCCTTTTTTAAAGCTGATCGTTTTGTGTTCATTTTTTTTTTAGTTCTTTTTCGTAACAGATTTAATGTTTAGTATAGAGCTTAGCAAAAATTAGCAGTGTGAGATAGGCAAGAAGTAAGGCATGTAGCAACATCAGCACGGCAAAGGGCACTCCTTTAAAGGCAAGGAAGGGCAAAAATATTTTAAGTCAAGTGATAGCCATTGCTGTATGAGTCGAACGATTTTAGAATCAAACACGGGCAACGCCGGGCCATGCTGCTAGTATATATATATATATATATATATATATATATATATATATAGCTCGTTCGAGTTGTATTATATAATATCTATATTTATATCCATATATCTGTTTCATATAGTTAATATTTTGGAGTTACGATGTTTTACTGCTCCTACTCATTAATCTTCATGCACATTGTTTAACAATAAAATTGGTATTAAGCCATCGATGTTGTTAAAATTTTCAGCATATATATTATCTACTAAAACTCATGATGATATATATATATATATATATATATATATATATATATATATATATATATATATATAAGTTTTAATAGACATAAGTCTTGGGCCAAATGGAAACAACGCTTCTCATTCGCTAAATCTGTATCCGCCATTCTGAATGAGTACTTCGAATAAAGGTTAAGGGCAAAACAGATTCCGCACCTCTGATTGGCCAAAAATACCATTAGCCAAAAAGTAAACAAATCTCAGTTGCTCAAAATTCATAGATAGGATTGACTTTGAGTAAGCACAAATATTGTCAAAATACTTGCAATCATACGGAAGCTATACTAGACTCCTAGTCGAGAAAAGATCGCTTCCGGCTGGGCCCATGGGTGAGAAATTGTGATGTCATGTATGACCCCAGAACAGACATCACTGCGGATGAATTTTTGGTCGCAATATATGCATATAATATATATATATATATAATATATATATATATATATATATATATATATATATATATATATATATATATATATAGTTTGTCTGATGATCCGCAGTCCTTTTAAAGGGCTGTGGTGAAATAATTTATTACATGGAACCTTAAATTGGTCTGTTTTTATTTAAATTATTTGCTCTGAATTTACATTGAGCTCTCTGGATTTTATCCTCCTTAGGTTTACTCATACGGATTACGTAGTTTTTCATAAACTATATATATATATATATATATATATATATATATATATATATATATATATATATATATATATAATGTTATGAATAATCAAGAGTTGTCTTCCCTTGTTTTGTTACTCTGAACAGGAAAAGGTTACTTTTGAACAGAGAAATACCTCCTAGTTACTTGGATAAATATATTTCATTTTAATCAAAGGCGGTCACCAAGGGACACAACCCCCACTGAATTTTTTACTTTGATTTAAATTAAATTTAAATTTGAACAAGGTTTAGTTTGGTTTGTTTTACGGCATATCAACCATAATTGGCTATTTAATGCCGGCAATTTGTATTTGCCGGTAATATTTTTCTTCATAAACGTATTTCTGGTATTTTTTTTTCAAGAATTTAGTGGTGATAATTTTTTTCCTTCAAAATCTACTTCTGGTAATATTTTTTTCAAAAATGTATCGCTTGTAATATTTTTCCAAAAATGTATAGCTGGTATAATTTCTTTTTTCAAAAAAAATCTTTGGTTCGATTTGTTTTGTTTTACGGCATATCAACCTCAATCAAGGTTTTTATTGCTGGTAATTTTTTTTTCTAAAATGTATTGCTGGTAATAATTTTTCTTCAAAAAATTTACTGCTGGTAATAATATTTTACAAAATATTTCTGATATTAAAACCTATTTTTGCACTTTCATAATGTTTCAACACCAGTTTGGGGGGTTATGTTTCAACACCAGTTAGTGGGGAACATTAACTATAACCAATAGGTTGGGACATTCATTTACCCAAGAATTAGAGAGGAGAATCAAATTTATCGTCTTACTAGTTTGAATAAGGAAATTCCAAGGGTAAATTAGACAAGTCGATTCATTTTGACCCTATGTTCATTAGAAACTGAACTGCTAAAGACAAACAAAGAAAATGATAGAAAATGATGTTATTATGTACTGTTATATATAATGGGATGAGTCGAAAAGAGAAAAAGAACATTTACTGGCTACTTTTTTTCATCTATCATATATTTCTAGGTTTCATTTTTCTATCTATCTTCTATTCATCTTCTATCTATTGCATCTGATTCTCTATCCATCTATCTTATCCCTGTCGATTCTTTCTATTTATCTATCTTATCGTTTTTAATTTCTATCTATCTATCTATCCATCTTCCATCCATATCCCGGTCTGATTTACATCTATCTTCTATCCATCATTATCTATCTCGGTCTGATCATCCTATCATCCATCTTCTGTCTGATTATCTATTCTATATAGGTCTGATGTTTCCATCCATCCATCTATCTGTATCTAGTTCCGGCCTTCTATCTATCTATCAGTCCATCTATTTTCTCTATCCATCTATCCTCCATCTGATTGGAATTATCATCCATCCATCTTCTATCCAATCATCCATCCTTTATCCATTACCTTCCATCCATCCATCTGGTCCCATCTATCCATACAGGTCTGATCCACATCTATCCTCCAAATCCATCCATCTATCCATCTATGTTCAATATCATCTATCCAGAGATTCAGAGCTATCCATCTAAAAATCCATTATCCATCCAGTTGATCCATCTATCCATCCATCTATCTCGGTCTGATAACTGTCATCTATCCTCGTCATGGATATCCTATCTATCTATCTATTCATATCTAGATCTATCATGATTCAAGTGAACTATCTATCTAGAATTCATTCATCCCTTTCCTGGTGGAAGAAATGAATATTTTTGGTTCAGTTCGAAATTCTGGGAGACGAATTTTAAACCCTGAAGAAGACCGAGAGGAGAATTACAGCTTTGCCGAAACGTCGTCTTTTCAATGAGAAAAAAACGCCTGAACAATGTAAATAGTTACAATTTTCAATTTCTTTTTCTGCTTTATCTCAGCAAATTTCACTGTCGATTTAACAGATCCTTTTTTTAAGGTTATTTACGGAGCGTACAACGATGTTTCGAAACGTTTTGAATATTCAGGATCAATAAAGATGAGGACAACAGTCCAAATAATTTATCCAATTTAGTGTAAACAGTTACAAAAATACTGTCATCCTGACCAGAAATAGAGAAAAATAGATCCTATAAGAAACTGAAGCTGGATATCCGGAGCGTGACAACGAACTAAACGTTGGTGGAATAAATGACAAAATAAAGATGAGGACAACAGTCCGAAACGTAATGTAAATGAGTGTAAAATAGTTACAATACCTTATCTCAGAAATAGAGACAGATCCTGAAGAAGGTCGGAGCGTACAACGACTGAAACGTTTTGAATATGACAATAAAGATGAGGACAACAGTCCGAATAATGTAAATAGTGTAAATAGTTACAATACCTCATCTCAGAAATAGAGATAGATCCTGAAGAAGGTCGGAGCGTACAACGACTGAAACGTTGTGAATATGACAATAAAGATGAGGACAACAGTCCGAATAATGTAAATAGTGTAAATAGTTATAATACCTCATCTCAGAAATAGAGATAGATCCTGAAGAAGGTCGGAGCGTACAACGACTGAAACGTTGTGAATATGACAATAAAGATGAGGCCAACAGTCGGAACAATGTAAATGGTCTACAATACCTCATTTCAGAGGTAGAGACAGATCCTGAAGAAGGTCGGAGCGTACAACGACTGAAACGTCGTGAATATGACAATAAAGATGAGGACAACGGTCTGAATAATGTAAATAGTGTAAATAGCTACAATATCTCATCTCAGAAGTAGAGACAGACCCTGAAGAAGGTCGGAGCGTACAACGACCGAAAAGTCGTGAATATGACAATAAAGACGAGGACAACAGTCCGAAAAACGTAAATAGTGTAAATAGTTACAATACCTCATCTCAGAAATAGAGATAGATCCTGAAGAAGGTCGGAGCGTACAACGACTGAAACGTTGTGAATATGACAATAAGGATGAGGACAACAGTCCAAATAATGTAAATAGTTAAAATGCCTCATCTCAAAAACATAGACAGATCCTGAAGAAGGTCAGAGCGTACAACGGCCGAAACGTCTTGAATATGAAGACAACAAAAAAGAGGATAACCGTCCGAACAATGTAAATAGTTACAGCACCTCATCTCAGAAATAGAGACAATTATTCTTTTGTTGCTAACACTATTTCTTTCGTTGCACTTTCGCATTATTCTGGAGACGTTTTTAAAGATCACTTAATAATTCTGTTCTAATCATCTCTCGACATTTGTTTCATATTTTCTTCCTTCTTAATTTTTCTTTCATTTCGTTAACAAATAACGTCTGGCTCTCTATATCTTTACGAAGAATCATCCCATGGATTTTTATTCCTCTTTTGTAACTCGAAATGTAAAAGATATCCGAACATCAATGACAAACTGGTATATCTCAACCTCTCAGCCACGCACTTCGCCATTATGACTGGACATCTTGTAGTGCACAAAAAGTACCGCTTTTGACGAACTCACATATTGATTGTTCCTTTTTTACTGGTTTGTATTTTACGGTTTATCAACCTTCTACAGGTTATCCAACGCCAGAAATTATTTATAGATTGTGAAAAAAAAAATGGTGGTGGTTGGGGAGATGATAATAATTTAATAATACAAGTCCCGTTAATCAACCAATAGCCTAGAAGCCGTGGATTCATGCCTTTTCTCAAGGGTACTTTCGCGTAACTGGATATAACGAACTGAAACTGGAACTCGGATACACGACTTCCACATTCGAGTCGCTATGCATTACACCACCCGCACATCCAAGCTCACAGCACCTGGTATTCGCAGATGGTCAGTCATCTAGGTACCGGCCAGGCTTGACGTTGCTTAACTTCGGTCATATATTGAGGTGTATTGACAAGCAGTTTTCCCAGACGAAGCGTTACTTGCACATCACTAACCTTTTGCTATATTCATGGCAGTTGTTCGGGATAACTACATTCTTGGGTTCCAGTAGCCCACACATACACAGCTAGAACCCGCCAGGCCACGTACACTGAATCGACAATATCCTCACTCTCTCATATTCCATTGGTAAGGAAGAAGTTGCATTCAGACAGCTTCTTCCCTAGAACTTTTCCATTATAGAAACGACTCAAGAGAGGATTTTTCCTCGGTCGCTACAAACAGTAGCCGTTATCTATCTTTACATATGCTCTTACTATGCACACCACAATCTCTCTCTGTACAACAACCTCACTTAGTAGCTCTCTACCTTGAGTAGCTCTTGAGCCTTGTATTTGGTGAACAAGAATAAAACAAATCAGAAGTTTACTAAGTAAAATTTATATAAGAATAACATGAAATGATATTATATATGGATTAATATACTTTGATCAGATGAAACTAAGATAATCATATTTGATCTCAGTCCTCGATTTTGAGGGTAAAAGAATAGAGAATTCAAATCAAAGGTCACCGTTCCAAGTTTGAAGAGCGTTATAATGGAATGAGACACTTTGTTATCATATGGAAAACGACGACTTCATATATTCTACGGAGCAGTGTACGGAGATATACTATAGAAGAGATATACTTACATCTGTTAAGCCTTTAAAATGAAGTACAATTTCACGTTGCAGCAAAACAACGTGCCTCAACACATCGTCAACGTTAAGAAAGAGTAATATGAACAAAAAGAAAATTAACATTTTGAACTGGTCTTGTCAGCTATTCCCCCCCCCCACCGCGTAAACTTGATTTAAAATTGTCCTCATGCTTATCAGCTTTGTAATTTGAGGAACTAAAGAAAAGAAACGATGAAAAGAGGTTAGATAAAGTATAACCCCCCACAACCCCCCACAACCCCCCAAATACAACAAAAGAATGATAAAACAAATAGGAAACCTATATTAATCTAACGTGTTTCACTTTTATCGGAACATCGTCAGAGATTGAGAGAAAACAGACAAAAAGACAGAAACAATGGTATTTTCAATTATGTTCAGATCAGTTCTCGTTGGCCAGATATTTTATCGCCATCTTTCTTAGAATCCATTCTTAAAGAATCTAACTTATATCTATCGTATACAAAGAATACATGCTTAACGTGCTATAAATTAAAACCATGTGACAGCCCGCTACACTGACTGACCGCAAAAAGGTGAAGACATTAAAAGTCCCACTAGACTGACACACACAATTACGAATACATATTGCCATTCGATGCCCACTTAGACATATAAGAATCTTCTCAGACTTACACATAGAATTATCTACAGTGTTAATATACGTCACACGTGTCTGAGAACTGAATCAAACATAATTGAAAACACCAGTGTTTATGTCTTTTTGTTTTCTTTCAGACTCTGACGAAGCTTTAATAAAAGTGAAACATGTCAGATTGGTATACGTTTCCTATTTGTTCATTGTCTTATTATTCTGTTGAATTCCGATCCACGGTGTATTTGATCTTTAACCCAAACAAAAAAAATATTTAACGCTTAGGGATAATTACATGGTGCGACCGGAGACTTCTGTTGTGAGCAAGTTTTACGACAAAATATCAGACCTCGCTTGATTCTGTTTTCTGTAGCGTATTAATTATTTCTGTTCATTCTCTTTGAAATAGAGCTTTTTAAAATTTTATACGAATGTATCCGGACACGATTTTTCTGCGGCGCCAATTTCGGTTAAACGGGTGATTATTTTCCACTTATTACTGAGAAAAAAATGTTCGCATCCTCTTTTTATTACAAAACCTACATTTATTCAAGACCTTAAATTACTATTGGGTTGGTGCATAATTATCAGTCGTTTTTAAACAATATTTATTATGAAAAAAGAAACATAACAATTCAATAACAACATTTTTAAATGATTATTATTACGTATGATTATCGACACGCATTTTTATAACCTGAAAATAAAATAATATCTTTATTAAAACTGTAAACAAAACAATTTTATTAACAAATAACTTGCTTATAAAAACGCCTGATAATTATGCACCAACCCAATATTTTTCATACACAAATAAACATAAAATTTATGCTGGAGAATCCTTCACTCTTGTCGGAAGTCAGTGTTGTCTATTAGTTTTCTTACCAAGTTTCATTAAACCCACAGTCTTCCACTGAATTTATGGCAAATATCCGAAAAATTAGACTCTCGCGACGGATTCAAACAAATTCTGACATGTCTAATTCTACTTACTGTTTAATGAGACTATACTGACGTCAGTCCTACGTCATCGCTCCACTCACTCTCTCTCTCACCTTCCACTATTCCCCTTGTCTCATCTCCACCACTCCATACAGCAACCTCTTCCAACACATCGTTAGTTCCAATAAGGTTCCATGATCAATGACTCGTCTTCAGGCAGATAACATGAAAACGCCATCTTGGCTCCCCCAGGAGTTGACCTTATATAATTATCCTAAATATGTGTCAGCCACTTTTGCCAGTCACGCCTCGCCCATTACTTTTGGCTGCCAGTGAATCAGGCCGGTTCTTCTGGCTTTACGAGGAAGGAAAATGGCACATTTTTGTTTTGTTTTTATATCAAACAACCTTTAATTACGTGATTCTTGTTTGGCTATGTACACAGAAATATGCAGATAACAATAATTTGTTACTTCATGGAAATGACTGCTACACAATCTTCTCACAGATGAAGAGACTTGGAGTAACAGAAACGTGGTTCTACAGAAGGATGCTGAGAATACCATGGACCGAACATGTGAACAAC